TTATTCTTTATTACCATAATCTAAGCCATATTTTCAATTATTATTCAGGGTAACGTATATTGTACTATATTATAAATCTTTGACATTCATTTGTCACTGCGTGTTCAAAAAACCTGTCAGCTCTGCCGACGTAAGTCTCACGACCTATCACGCGGTACGGCTGGCAGGTCACGGTTTCCATGCCCCGTGGAACCGTGGGTGGTTTGTGGGGTGTCAAGAACCCCACATTCTCACATCTGGTTAACCCTAAAAATACTTGTTTGCCCTCTAGCTTGGGTATTGCACTTGCAGGGACTTCAAGTACTCAGTGAGTTGTTGTGCCGTCCCTTGGACCTAGCTTATATTTTGCAATTATCTTATCAGTGTCGTTCTGTGTGAGACCTAGCTCTGGGTTCTGGTCCGTCAACCCAGTAACTATTTCGTCCTCCTTTAGCTGGGAGTCGACATCGTAGATTATTATTCTTGGCTGTCTGGGCCCTTACCTTTACGTTGGGTAAGTTACTTACCACCTCCAACGTGTTTCCATCGTCAGGAATTATAATAATGTTCTTGCCGTTTATCACGGTCCTGGCTCTGGGGTTTTCATCTTACCCTTAACCGTTTCCCATAGTTCGGCCTTAGCCGCTGCCATGGAAACATTGTCGGGTATCTCGAAGGTGAGCCTTGAGGCCGTCTTAGCTTCTCGACACTTAGTGAGGGTCTCTTTGATGCTAGCTATCTTAGGCGTGCTCTTTGAAGCCTTTGCGGACTGACCAGGTTTCGGGTCTTGTTTTGCTTTTTCGGCGTAAGTCATTGGTGTGGGCTTAGTCTGGGTCGGGAGGGTGGGTTTGGGCCTGGCAGTGACTGCTTGCCCCTCAGCCACCTCATCGACCMGCTCTCTAGCCTGAATCACCGCTCTGAGTTGACAGTTTTCGGTTTGCAGCCTACTGATTTCAGCCGTCTTGTCCAATAGTGACTCACTATAGGTGTTCCACATTGACCTGAGTTGATCCTGTGTCAGCTGTGCCTTGCCGCCAAGCCTACTGACCTCTAGGCAGAGGTCTTGTATGATGTTTCTCAATGCCTTGGTTCTTTCCAAGATGCCCTCTGATGCTGCCACGGTCAACTTTTTGGTACGTTCAACATGGGCAAGCTGTTCCAACCATCCAAAGTGGTTATTGACCTCTTTGGCCGTTTCCGAGACGGCATAAGCAGTCTTTTTGTTAGCCTGTGTCATTGGGGGGCTCTAGGGTCCACGTTTTTGGGATGGGCCTTCGTCCGTGACCATTCCACCACTTGTTCTGGCATTTGTGCCATCATCATCTACATTACCATCATGCTCGTCGTCAGAGCCGTCACCTCCTCTGAGCCTAGGTACGTTATCCGTCTTTATCCAATATTTCCGGTCCGATTCCGTGTTCGCATTTTTGGTGCTTCTCGTTGATAGCGACCGACAGGACGCGCACCGCTCCTGACTGCCGGATCTTGGTTCTTCAGAGTCCGACCCTCCCAGTATTCATGTTAGGTTGTTAATGGGGGGCTGCCCCTGGTAGCCCTGCACCCTCTGGCCGCCGGCGGGCTAGATCGGCGGTCGCAGTCAGTTGTGCCTACAAATTAGTACGGTCCGGGGTCGGCCTGCCCCGGACGAGGTTAGTGTGAGAAGCCTCTTAGCGACTGGCCTGAAGGCGCAGCCGGGCGGGGTCACCACGGCAAGGTGGGCTCTCGTCGACCCCGAATCAATGAAGCCAGGAGGAGGATTCCCGGGTTTTTGTTGCCTTTCGGCTACAACCGCGGACCTCACATTAGCGCTGTGCGCTAGTCGAGAGCCACGGAGGTTCACGGTCGGCGCACGTCGGCGAAGCCATCCGCACGTCGGCCGCGCGTCATCTACGGACCACGAGCACCGGGCGCAAACCCGTTCCCACCGAAGTCGGGAGAGAGTGCGCCCGTACCGTTTGGCTGAGGCGTACACGTGCCCTTCGCCACCCTGGTCGGRTCGCGAGCTATCCTCATCGCTTCCCGTATTTGGTCACSGGCAACCTCCGGTGCATATAGCTCCACCGGTAAGCTGGGTGGGCGCTAAGGAGAATGCTCACTCGGCAGCCTTCCCCTAGACCAAGCGTCGGTCTTGTAACCACATGGTAGCTTCTGCTACAGCCACTCCGAAACCAAACCGCCGTCGACCACGCAACGACCGTAGCCGCTGCGCGACCGCCGTGTGAGGGCACGGCGTCAATCGCTCAACGCCGCGGGGCTCCCCCACATCCCGAAGTACCATTCTCGCTCCCGTTAGGCAAGCACATCAATGGTGAGATGTGCGGGCCGAGCTTCGTCGGCGCTATGCCTCAGCTGTGGTYCTCCCGAGATTTGGGCCGTGTACCGCGGGCTCACGGTGGGCCCTCTCCGGGCAGCGCTCRCTGCCGACGCGGTGGCCGCGACCCCCGAGTTAGAGGCTCGGTAGCCTTGGTGTTTGTCTACGCCTCCCTGAGGCCTCTCCGAAGAGAGCGACCCGCTCTTCATGAGGTCACGGTCAGAACCTCTCAACACCCTAGTCCCCGAAGGTTTCGGTATTTCCGCCTCCCAGAGGCCTCTCCGAGGAGAGCGACCCGCTCTTCATGAGGTCGCGGTCAGAACCTCTCAACACCCTAGTCCCCGAAGGTTTCAGTGTGTCCGCCTCCCAGAGGCCTCTCCGAGGAGAGCGACCAGCTCATCTTGAGGTCACGGTCAGAACCTCTGCAACGCCCTATTCCCCGGAGGTTTAGGTGCGTCCACGCCCCAGGCGTCGGCCCCGGCTGGCCAGTCCCTTTTAGTCGCCTTTTACGACAAGCAGGGAATACTGTGGCGGTATTCTGGCCTCGGCCCCAGCCACAGGTCCATTCTACACGTCGCTGACGCGTGAGCACGCCCCGGGTCAGGACGCGCTCGAGCGTGACCCGCCGCTTGTGCCACTTTCACCTTGCGTGCTCACCCGGGTCACCCCGAGTCTGTGCACTTACACCGCCTGGTGTGGCTGCGTCCTGACCCATTACAAGGTCTTACCTATCCGTTCTTGACTTTAAGCTGTCGTGTGCAAATTTATTGAATGCGTCAAAAATTCTTTTCGTTTTTATAATGGTTCCATTATATGGCGGCCATGCTTCGCCTCCTTCCTCAACTATTCTTCTTAGTTCAGTTCTTTGTGCAATTGTTCTTGGGCACGCTAGTAGGACGTGCTGTACGGTCTCACTACCATTGCCGCATCTGCAATTTGAGCTCGGAACCAATTTAAATGAGTGGAGCTTTCCGTAGAAGTCCCCGTGTCCCGTTAGCATTTGACTTAGGTAATGGTTCATACCCATTGGAAGACCATATCTTGTTTTTACGTCCGGTATCAATTTCCTGGTCCAATCTCCGGTTTTTGGATTGCCCTGTGTCGGATTCCATCTATCTTGTCATGTGTCGAGGAGCTCGTTTATCTTGTTCTCGTACTCAACGGGAGTGATCTTACCGCATCTCATGTTCATTTTTGCATGGTATTTCTTTATTTCTAGATCAAGCGGCAGTAGGCCAGCGATCACCTGTAGTGCTGCCGTTGACGTGGTATTGTACGCACTGGTCACTGCCTTCAGCGCTTCTTTCTGGATTTTTTCCAGCAATATAATTGACTTCTTTAGTTCGAGTGCTTTGATCCATATTTCCGCCGCGTAAGTAATGCGCGGTAGGAAGACTGCCTTATAGATTATTGCTGAGGTCGTCTGACTTACGCCCCAGTTAGCTGACGTCATTTGTCTCAGGCGTTGAAACATGCCCGTCGATTTGCCGCTCAATGACACAATGTGATCCCAGAAGGATCTTCTGGGATCAATTGTCACTCCTAGGTATCTTACCGCGTCTTTTCCTTCAATTTTCCCGTTGTCCGGGTCTGATCCAAAGCCTATGGTGTATGGGGTCTTTTTACCACCTTTTAATGTCATGGCCTCGCATTTCGTCCTTGAGAAGGTTAGCCCGTACCTCCCCGACCATTCGATGAGTGAGTCTAAGTTTCGCTCAAGTCGCTTAGTTATTGTCGGGATGCGGGCCCCTCCGGTCATCACGACGATGTCATCCGCATATGCAACTGTCTTTGATGTTGCCGGGTCTTCGCAAAAAGCACCAACCATAGCGAGTTTCCATAACGTGGGACCAAGTCTAGAGCCTTGTGGGCATCCTCTCGTCATTACTTTATGTCGAGTTGTTCCATCTATCTCCAAACTTGCTGTACGTTCTTTGAGGTAGCTTATTAGTATATTTGTGACCTTACTGGATGCACCTAGGGTCTTGGCCGTGTCCAGGAGGGGGACCCAGCGGACATGGTCAAAGGCACCTGTTATATCGAGGAAGGCTCCTGTTATGTGTCTTTTTGGGCAGCAGTCAACCCAATCGTACGTGGCTTTAATCGCCGTCACTGTGGACCTTGTACTGACATACCCGTGCTGCTCTCCAATGGTATCGACATTGGTCTCATTCTCGAGTCGTTTGATAATTGCTGATTCTAGTGCTTTCCCTAACGTGGGTACTAGGCTTATGGGTCTGTACGCTCCGGTGCACGTTCTATCTTTCTTAACAGGTTTTGGTATTATTATTAATCTCGCTTCTTTCCATGGAGTAGGGAAAGTTTCTGTCTGGAGACATTGGTTGAATAAATCAGTGATCCTTTGTGCCAGTGTAGGCCAAGCCTTGCGGAGCATTCCTCCCGTGATACCGTCTTTGCCCGGGGCTCTATTTGGCTTGAGTTTCCAGATGGATATCTTTATCTCATCATTCGTGGCATTCGTCAGGGGGCGGCCGTCATAARGTGCCCTGATCAGTTCGGATGGTATGTCCTCGTCAGGTAAGAATGCGTCAAGCAGGGTATTTATTGTTTCCTCTGTGTTTGTCGTATAACGTCCATCTTTATTTTTGAGGGTGGATGGCCCTCTGTACGTACTTGAACCTTTCTTTGCCCAAGTAAAGGCTTTTCCCCAGGTTTTAAAGTTCATGCTCTCACTAAAATCCCTCCATGCGTTCATTTTCGCTGACCTTATGAGGTGCAGGTGTCTGTTGCGAAGAGCTGCGTAATCTGGGTTTTTGGTGCGTCTGGCTGAGTTTAGCGCTCTCTTGGAGTTGCTCAAGTCAGCGGTCCACCAGGGGGGGGAGCGTAATCTGGTTCCTCTTTCGTTTCTTTAATGGTATGGATTTAAGCGCGGCCGTCTTTATGATACTCGTTAGTGTAGTGGCTCTCGTGTGTACGTCAGCTTCCTCAGCGTCAGTGAGTTGGTTAAGCCGTATAATTTCTTTTTGGAATTTAAACCAATTCGCCTTCCTAACGTTGAAGGTTGTAATTGGCTTTTCTTTGGGTATTTCGTGTTTATGCCTAAATCAAAACTTATTGTGTTGTGATCGCTGTCTGTATCATTTGCGACAGTCCAGTTATAGATGCTCCATCTCAGATTGGCTGTGGTTAGTGTCAGATCTATGTTCGACGAACCCATTTGTGCCCGTTCATACGTGGGAGTGCTGGTGGGAACAATGTGAATATGTAGTATTAAATCATCAATCATTTCCTCAGTGATCCTGCCCCTGGCATTTGTGTCTTGGTTATGCCAACGTTGGGAGTGCCCATTACAGTCCGCGCATACCAGCAGAGACCTGTGCTYTTGGGCGATGGTTCGTATGATTTCAGTAAAGTCCGTGGTGGGTCTGTTGTACTTAAAGTACGCAGAGACCAGGACCACACTGGATTCTTCTCTGCCATTTAGACTTATTTTGGCCACAGCCACATACTGAGACGTGTGCTGCGAGATCTTAATACATCTTATTCTATCGCTAGTTACAATAATCGTTGCGCCAGGGTTATCTAGATTGGACACCTGCAGGCATGTTTCAAAGTTGGTGACCAGACCATTCTCATTTGTGGGCGGCTCTTGTACTAAGATAATATCGATTTTCTCTCTGATGGATCGATCGCGTAGTTGCTCCGAAGCAATCAGCTGGCCATTCAGATTGATTTGTAGTATTTTTACGTGATTCATATGGAGCTGAAGTCCGTCCGCCTTAGGAGACTTTTAATAGCTCTTATTCTGTGCGCGCATGTTGCGCTGGACGCCTTGTGGTCGCCTTTACAATTTGTGCAGACCGCCTTTTGGGGCTCTTTACATTGCCTACTGTCGTGCATTCCTGCACAGTGTCTACACCTAGGTAACTCTTGCGTACATTTAATGGCGGTGTGCCTATACCCTTGACAGTGGAAGCACTGTGGTACGCTCTGATGTACTTTGATTTTGCATCTGGTTAGCCCTAAGAAAACCAGCTTGCCTTCCAGCCTGGGAATCACACTCGCAGGGACTTCTAGTACCCAGTGAGTGGTCGTACTGTCCCTTGGACCGAGTTTGTTTTTTACAGTTATCTTGTCTGTTTCCAACTTTGTAAGTCCTAACTCTGGGTTTTGATCGGATAGCCCGGTGACTATCTCATCTTCGTTCAACTGAGAATTGACATCGTAAATGATTATTCTCGGCTGTTTGGACCCTGTGATTTTTACATTGGGTAGATTGCTTACCACCTCCAACGTGTTTACATCGTCGGGTATTATTATGATGTTCTTGCCATTGATCACAGTTCTGGCTCTGGGGTTTCTCATTTTACCCTTAACTATTTGCCATAATTCGGCTTTTGCCGCTGCCATGGAGACATTATCGGGAACTTCAAAGGAGAGCCTCGAGTTTGTCTTAGCCTCCCGACACTTAGTGAGGGTCCTTTTAATATTATTTTCCTTCGGCATACTCTTCGGAACCTTAATGGGTTGACCTGGTTTCGGGTCAGACCTTGCTTTTTCGGCGTAGGACATTGACGTGACCTTAGCTTGAGTTGTAAGAGCAGGTCTGGGTTTGACGGTGACTGTCTGCCTCTCAGCCAACTCGTCGGCCCGTTCTCTGGCCTGAATCTCGGCTCTTAATTCGCCGTTTTCGGCTTGTAGTCTAGCAATTTCTCTAATAGCGAATCACTATAGGTGTTCATCATTAGTCTTAGCTGCTCTTGTGTAAGCTGAGCCTTTCCGCTAAGCTTACTAATCTCCAGGCAGAGGTCCTGGAAGATGTTTCTAAGTGCCTTAGTTTTATCAATAATACCCTCTGACCCTGCAACGGTCAGTTTTTTAGTACGTTCGGTATGGGCAAATTGTTCTAGCCATCCAAAGAGGTTGTTGATCTCTGGTCGTTGTCGCAACAGTGTAGTGATCACGTCGTCTACAGGTATCAGTAGTCAAGGATGATGTTTGGAAGGTGACTCTTGAGTTAATTACACAACGTAGAATTCTTC